TTTTTGTTTTGTCCTTTCTTCCTTTCTTGAGGTTAAGGATTACATTTTTAAAAAATTGTTTCTGATCCTCTACAGTTCAGAATTAGACTTTGTTGGGGGTCAAAAAACAATAATCCAAAGTATAGTACTTTGGCCTGCTGAGTACTTCCAACTAAAGCAGGGGCCTCCAACCCCCAGGCGACAGACCAGCACCAGCCCGTGACCTGTTAGTAATTGCGACTCACAGGAGGAGGTGACCCGCAGTAAGCAAGCAAAGCTTCACCTGTATTTATAGCCACTCCCCGTCACTTGCGTTGCCGCCTGAGCTCTGCCTCCTGTCCGATCAGTGGCAGCATTAGATTCTCATAGGAGCGTAAACCCTGTTAGGAACGGCACATGCGGAAGGATCTAGATTGCAAGCTTCTTATGAGAATCTAATGCCTGATGATCTGTCACTGTCTCCCATCACCCCTAGATGGGACCGTCTAGTTTCAGGAAAACAAGCTCAGGGATCCCACTGATTCTACATTATGGTGAGTTGTATACTTATTTTATTATATATTATAATGTAATAATCATAGAAATAAAGTGCACAATAAGTGTAATACGCTTGAATTATCCTGAAACCACCCCCTCCCCAGTCCATGGAAAAATTGTCTTCAACAAAACCAGTCCCTGGTCCCAAAAAGGTGGGGGACTACTGATCTAAAGAACATCTGAAGGGCCTCAGAAGCAGTCTCAGGGCCAAGGTCACTCTGACCTTCTCCTGCCCTCCTACTTCTCACCCCTGAGTCTCCCTGCAAGCAAGTCACAGAAACCAGAATTCTTCTTCCCCAAGGCAGGTCACAGAAACTAGAACCCCTATTGCCCAAGTCAGCCATGAATACAAGGAATAACCTACAAGGAATACAAGGCTAACCTTCTCCCCTCCTACCTTTCTGTCTAGGCGCTGGCTATAAAGGAATTCTCTGACCTACCCTTGTCTGATAATAGGTCATAAGACTCCTCTTGTAGAGGGTTCTTGCTCCATACCCAGGTGGAGGGAATGCCACTGAGAGGCCAAGAAGAATCTGGACAGGGCTTGCTGGCTTTTCTCATCTCAGTCTACTGGATCACACCCTTTTTTCCAATGACCGTTCTATACAGCTATTCATTCTTCATTCAACCTAAGCATAAAAATGGATATTTTTTTCCTGTATCTTTGGATCTTCATTCCAAAGGCTTTCGTGTCACATAAAACTTTAAGTCATTTTTTGTATGTGTGCTTTTCTCCTGTTGTATAGCAGTGTTGGCTGAGACCCTTATGAGGAGTGAAGAAAGATATCACACGCTTTTCACCTCTACAGCTCAATACTGCAAATATCCTGCAGCTTGTCTTGCTTTTCCCAAGAAAGTGAAACTTTGAGAATTATCCCTGATGATATATGTCTGCGGTACATTGATTTTCACTGTTCTGCATATTCCATTGTGTGATTAGAACACAACTCATTTATCCATTCTCCTGTTCCAAGTTTTTACTAATGCAAACAATGCTGCAATAAAATTATTGTTCATGTCTGAATTTTTGCATGGCCTAGAATTTCTCTGGGGTATTAATCTGCCAAAGGAATTGCTTGGTCATAAGGATGGACATGTTCAAATTCATCAGGCATTGTCACATTGCTTTTCAAAGCAGTTGTATAAATTTATCATTCTTCCCACAACTTTTGAGGGCTTCTGTTGCCCAAATCCTCATACCAAAGAAAGAACACTCTAGAAGATGCAGGTCTCAGTCCCAATTCTCTCCATCTGTACACCGGTATTAAGTTTCAGCACCTATGTTACTTACAGCAATAAAGATCCCAGGGCAGACACAGTGTCAGCTCTGCAGTTCACTGTCCTGATTTTTAGTTTCTTCTTCATTTCTGGCCCAAGGCAATTTTTCTGCCTTTCTTAGCAATTCAGCCCTGCATTTATAAGAATGTTAGTTATAATTTATCGAGCAATTCTTGGTGTTGGTAGCTGGAGGGTTTTCAACTTATCTGTACTGCCAGGCCCTTAAATCCCTACCAGTGTTTTCAGCACGTGACCACTCTTTAAACACTCCCCAAATTTTGGATACCATGAAGTAAGTAGAATCAAATTAGCAGCTACGATGAGCTATGGAACTCTCTTCCCAGGTGTTCATTAGTCACCATTACTTCAGCATGGCATAATAATTAATGGTGAGGACTCTGCAGCAAGTTTGTATGGATCTGAGTCCCAACTCTCTTTGACTTTGGGCAGTATACTTCATCTCTCTGGGCCTCAGTTTCTTCATATGCAAGATGAGGATGATGGCAACGGTACCTATTCAGTAGGGTTGGTGTAAGGATTCAAAGAGTTACTAGTGATAAAAATGCTTAGAATTGTATCTGACACACAGCATGTGCTGTGTAATCAATTGATGCATGAATAAAATGGAATAATGAATATTAGACATAAATTTTTGTATGACCTATATTATATATTCTGTGAATATTTTAGTAATGATTTTTCCTTCAATCCCCAGCATCAGCGATCTAAGGTTGGTAACATAGCACTACTTTTCACGTTTAATGATTCTAATGATAAATTGCTTTTACCTAAAACCATCTCTGTGTCCTTTTGAATACCAGCAAAATGGCTGGTGTCCATTGCAGAAAATTCCTTCCATCATGGAAAGAATTCCCTGCTCCAACCAAGCTGTTATACAACCTGGGAGCAAGGGTGTTGGGAATGTAAAGAGGGAGAAATGAATAAATATGAGGAAGAAGGACGAGAGAAATGCAGACTTGTTCTTCCTCATAACCTGGTGGCGTCCAGTTGCCAGTGGCAGGATGCTGCCCAAGGAGCCTCTTCTCTCCCTTACTCCTCCCAGCTCCGTGCTTCAATCACAGAAACTCTGTGCTTGCCACATGTGCCCCGCTGCTCCTCTAGGTTCAAAGAGGCGAATGGGGCAAAATATTGCAAAAATCTTTCTTTTTGTCTAGAGTAGGCAATTTCCATATTGGAGGATGTCCAGGCTGTGAGAATCCCATGCCTCAGGGATCTGAGCCATCACAAGAATGGAATATTAGAAAAGAATCCATATGACACTGTTTATTCTGCTATTGTGTCATGTATTGTCATTATCCTCTTTCCACCCTTTCATGCCATACACACCTTAATATTTTGTACTTCACAGGCCTACAATATACTTTATTTAAACTGAAATGAACTTATTAAGGTTCGCTACACAGCCCATACAGCAAACCTGATAATGCCTCACAATAATATGAATTTAGATGTAACATTATAAGCAATTAGTTCCCTTCTCAGCCAGCACCCATTCTCAAACCAGGAAGGTCAAGTTCAGTTCTCTTCCTGGGGCTGTGGTGGATGAAGTGATTACCTCATGACTGTTTTGCATTTTCTCATACACAGAGAGATGGACATTATTCTAATAATATGCAAGTTTAATAAATATCATTTTCTTTCTTTTTTCACACCATACCTGGAAAACTGACTAGAAAATTTTGTTTGCAAAAATGGTTTGCAAACTGGGCCAGGTGTGGTGGCTCACATTAATCCCAGCACTTTGGGAGGCCCAGGTGGCCGATCACTTGAGGTCAGGAGTTTGAGACCAGCCTAGCCAACATGGTGAAACCCCTTCTCTACTAAAAATTAAAAAAAAAAAAAAAAAAAAACACGGGTCCAAGCCCCTGACATTCCCAGCAGGGCTTATAGGGGTTTCTTTTGCTTTCAAAAAAAAAAAAAAAAAAGCCAGGTGTGGTGGTGCACACCTGTAATCCCAGCTACTCAGGAGGCTGAGGCAGGAGACTCTTTTGAGCCTTGTAGGCAGAAGTTGCAGTGAGCTGAGATCATTCCATTTCACTCCAGCCTGGGGAACAAAGTGAGACTCTGCCTTGAAAAAAATATGTTTTTTTGCAAACATGGTTAGTCATTTTCCTTGACTAAACTTTTGGACCTCACTTACAGTTTTACAGAGGGGTGGGGAGTGTTACTCTATTTCTTCATGAAGAGAAAAAAGAAAACTCTTACCAAACAAAACAGAAATCTGTTTTGATTTATGTGGTGGATCTATCAACCTCTTTTTCTATACTTTTTCTGTAACTGCCCCAAAGTTTCTCCTTGCTCACTGCACAAACGAAATCAATTCACAGAGATCATGGCGTTGCAATAAAGGTAGAGTTTAATTGACGTGAGGCTGGCCATGTCACGTGTATTACTCAAATCAATCTCTTCGAAGGTCTGGAGGTTAGGGGTTTTTCAAAGATACTTTGGTGGGCAGCAGGCTAAGGTATGAGGGTTGATTGGATGGGTCAGAGATAAATCATGGAGAATAGAAGCTGTTCTCTTGCACTGAGTGGGTTTCTGGGTGAGGCCACAGGACTGATTGGTGGGTCTCAGTGGAGCCATTGGTCATTACAGGTGCAGAAAACCTGAAAAGACATCTCAGAAAGCCAATTTTAAGTTCTACAATAGTGATGCTATCTGCAGGAGTAATTGGGGACGTTGCATATCTTGTGACCTCCTGAATAATGGCTGGCAATCATTTATGTCTACACCTTAGCAGAATTCAGGCCTCTCTAATCCTCCTGGCCTGGTGATCTCTCACTAGCTTTACAAGGTGGCTGAATTTTGGGGAAAGGCTATTATCACTTAAGCTATAAACTAAACATCTCGCACAGTTAGCTTGGCCCAAGCCCAGGAATATTTAAGGGCGGTTTGAATGCTAAAGGCAAGATAGGGGTTGGCTAGATCAGATCTCTCCCCACCACCTTAATTTTCTTGCTGTTGTAACTTTCGCAAAGGCAGTTTCATTTCTACCATACAGCATTCGGGATTCAGAAATACTTGGTTTCACTATTATTCTAGGCACAGAAGAACCTTGTGAGTCCTGGACCTTTTATTATTTATTTATTTATTTATTTATTTAGATGGCGTCTCACTCTGTTGCCCAGGCTGGAGTACAGAAGCGCCATCTTGGCTCACTGCAACCTCTGCCTTCACCTCCGGAGTTCAAGCAATTCTCCTGCCTCAGCCTCCCTAGCAGCTGGCATTACAGGCATGAGCCACCTGGCCCGGGATCCTGGCCTTTTTAAATCAGGTATGGGCATATGGCTAGTTCTGGCCAGTGGTTTGTGGGAGGATGTGTTATGTGTCAATTCCAGGGTGGAACATTTGATTGTGGGAGCAAGACCTTTGAATTGTGCTCTTTATCTGCAGTAGTGATTGCAGATGGACAGGCGGAGATAGAATCTCCTTCATCTGCATCCCTGAAAGACTAAAATCGGGGGAGTCCTCACCCACCCCGTATAGGTATGCAGATTACATAGAAAAGAAAAAGGTTATTTGAGGCTGTTTGTTAAGCACCGCATAACAACCTGTGCTCTTAATAATCATGCTAGCTCATACACATGGGAAATACTTTCCCTGTGATGCTGACCTGTCAGAATGAAAATAATACTCTACATGTGAATCTCAAAACCTGAATTATATTCTTAGGTGTGCTTCTCATTACGGATACAGCCTTGAGCAAGTTAATAATTCATCAAAAATGTGTTGAGCACCTACTGTGGCCCAGGTTTGTCTGTCACATTTGTCTCTGGGCCTTGGGTTTGGCAACTATAGAATTAGAGAATTTGACTAGATTTTTAATTTTGTGATTTTAGCATTACTATAGTATTACTTTGTGCTCACTTGGCTTATTTATTGGGCTTAAGCATGTTTTCCAATGTCACCTCTGCTCCAGATCTCCTTTTTCCTAATCTCTTCTTCTGGGAGAAGATAGTGCCCCTTATGCTTATGCTGCAATTAAGTAACCTGTGGAAGAGGCTTATGTGGTGACATTAGGGAAAAAGGTCAGCAGATGGTATCCTTTGAGCCAGATCTGTGTTTTACTGGTACACAACCGTGCTGTGCTGTTTATTTATGTATTGTGCATGGCTGTTTTCACTGTACACTGGCAGAGCTGACTAATTACGAAAGAAATAGAATTCCCCACAAAGCCAGAAAGAAAGCAAGCAAGGAAGGAGGGAAGGAGATAGGGAAGGAGCAAGGGAAAGAAGGAAAGAAGGAAGGAAAGAAGGAAGGAGGGAAAGAGAGAAGGAAGAAGGGAAGGGAGGGAGGGAGGGAGGCAAGGAAAAAGGGAACCTACCTACCTAAAATCTGGCCCTTCACAGAAGTGTGCTGACTGCTAGCCTGGAAATATCTCCATGTGTTTACTCTAATTTCTTATTTATCTGTTGTTACCTGTATAACCTTCTAGAACTCCACTGATACTGCATTTGCTAAGGTGGACTAAGACCTCCTAACTAAACCTAATAAACATCTTTCAGTCCTTTTGATATAGGAGTTAGAAATAAATTATTTAAGCAGATAGTGAGGGTAAAGAAGTCTTCGGTAAGGTTTTCCTTTTAATGAAAAGCAGCATCAAAATAATTTCTTTTCTAACAAAGAGCAGTCTGTAAAATCAAGCTGCAGACATAGATAAACACGCTGGAAGCTCGCACGGGTGAATGCTGGCAGCTGTGCCAATGGGAAAAGGCTAACCTGGGGGCCAGGTATGTTCAACATGGCGGCTCCATCTTCCCTTTTCCTTGCCAACCATGTGTACAGTAAGGAGCAGACAACATGGCGTCAGCCCAGTAGAAAACACATTTGCATAATAAAAGATTAGGGTGCGGTGTCCAGCTTCTTCATGTGCTATTACAAAAGAAATAGAATGCCCCACAATCCAGAAAGAAAGAAAGGAAGGAGGGAGGGAGCGAGGGAGGGAGGAAGGGAGAGAGACAGGGAAGGAGGAAGGGAAATAAGGAAAGAAGGAAAGAAGAAGGGAGAGAGAAAAAGGGAAGGAAGGAAGGAAAGAAGGAAGGAAGGAAAGAAGGAAGGAAGGAAGGAAGGAGAGAGGGAGGGAGAGAAGAATGGAAGGAAGGAAGGAAGGAAGGAAGGAAGAAGGGAGGGAGGGAGGGAAGGAAGGAAGAAAGACATCACACCTGGTCCAACCAATCTTTGGGCCCTATATAAATCAGACACCACCTCCTCAAGCCAGTCTATAAAACCCAGTGCACTCTGCCGTGACTGAAGTCTCACTTGGGTGCCTCTCTCTTTCCCAGCAGAGAGAGCTATTCTCCATTCTCTTTCTTCTGTCTAATAAACCTCTGCTCCTAAAATCATTTCTTGTGTGTCTGTGTCCTTGATTCCCTTGGTGTGAGACAGTGAACCTTGGGTATTTACCCCAGACGATGAAGCCGCTTCACTTTCAAGAAGATGTCTCTAAAAGATAAAAGATCAGATTATGGCTAAAAAGAGATGTAAAGTTAATGAACAGTTGATTTTTAATTCTTTTTAATTTTTAAAATAAAATAATTTTAAGATGAATTTCAAATACAGACATAAATATATTTAAATTTGATTTTACTTAATTTAAATATAAAATAATTTTAAGATGCATTATGTTTCAGGATAAAATAATTCTTTAAATTATAATAGGAAAAAAGAAAAGTCCTGGAGGAGAGAGAAACAGAGTTTTGATTATGAGGAACTGCTGCAATCTCACTGTGACTCTATTGAAGGGTACAGCAAGGGAGAATGGCAATAAATTATTTAGGAAATATGTGTTCAGGGTAGAGCACAGATAGCATCGTACATCAAGGAAAGAAGTTTAGGCTTTATTTTGTAGGCAATGGGACAGAGTAATGTTTTTCAGCTTACGGTGACCTGCTCAGACTAGAGTTTTATGGAAATCAATCCTGTAGCAACTAATGTCCCTGATATATTTTGTTTGATCTATACACAACACAATATAGCATATTTACATTTCATTTCTTCTAAATAAACTCAGTACTCCATAAAAATTTATTCTATACTTGTGTACTTTTCATATTTTCACTACTCTCAAGTCAATTCCTTGAGGAGAAAGAGTTCTAGAAAATATCACTGAGTTTTTTTACATGAAAAAAATTATTATAAAATATATATTGCTTCACTTAACTTTATGCTTACAAGTTTATGACTAGTAGGCTTAACTTTTCCATTGGAAAAAAATCAAGATTATTATATTTGATGACATGAATTTTGTAACTGCCCAGTGGGTTCTTCCTCCCCACTGCACACACAAAATCAACTCACTTTGACCATGGCATTGCAGTAAAAAAGAGTTTCATTGGTGCAAGGCCAGCCGTGCCACGCAGGAGATGGAGTTATTACTCAAATCGATCTCCCCAAAGGCTTGGAGGCTAGGGGTTTCTCAAAGATAGTTCGGTGGGCAGGGGGCTAGGATGGAGGCATGCTGATTGGTTGGGTTGGAGATAAAATCAAAGGGAATGAAAGCTATCCTCTTGTGCTGAGTCAGTTCTTGGGTGGGAGCCACAGGGCTGGTTGGTGAGTCTAGGTGGGGCCGTCCTGTTGTCAGAATTGCAAAAATCTGAAAAGATATCTGAAAAGGCCAATCTTAGGTTCTACAACAGTGAAGTTATCTGCAGGATTAACTGGAGGAAGTGTGAAACTTATAACCTCCAGAATAATGGCTGGTAATTATTGAGAATTTAAGCCCCTCTTATCCTCTTGACTTGGTAGTCTTTCATTTGTTTTATAAGAACCGTTTAGTTTTGGGAAGGGCTATTATCATTTAAACTACAACCTAAATTTCTCCCAAAGTTAGCTTGGCCCATATGCAGAAGTGGACAAAGACAGCCAGTCTCTTAAGGCTCGAAGCAAGATGGAGTCAGATGTCTCTTTCTGTCATAATTTTGCAAAGACAGTTTCAATTTGAGCTAGAAGAATGAATGTTCTTTCTCAACAATAGAGAATATGCTTGATGGTATTATTTAATATAACTACACTTAAATTTTATTTTCTCATTCATTAAATAATCAAACAGCTTTATAAGATATGATAAAAGCAGCCATCCTCTAGTTCCTTCTTCACCCCTGATCTGTGATCTCCAGAGGAAATGATGTTCAATTCATCTTTATGGTATTTATCAAATTCCTCAATGATAATATAGAGTATTATTTCTTAGTTTTTTCAATATTAGTATCTACTGACTTCATACTATGGAAGATGAGGATTGAGTTCTATAATGTACCCTTTCCTATATTTACCCACTGTAGTTATTGATTTTTTGATTAATATTCCATTTGACATCATGATTTGCATATGATAATCCATAGCTGAACCACACACTCATTAATGAAGGAAGCATTTTTTTGTGTAACACTTTCGTTGCTTCACTTTAATCAAGTCCTATTGCTTGTTTAATTCCTTTCTTATGTACCTTCCACTGATTTTTGCCCAAACTCCCACCCATTCATCTAAATAAACTCCCCACAACCTGTTCATAAACAGCAAGCAAATGTGATTGTTTTGTTTCTTAGAAGAATCCTTCTAGAGTCCTTGGATACCCTTGCTCTAATTGGGAAAATTTGCTTCCTGGGCCAGCTTCTCTTCATTATCCTAGGATTTCCGTTCACCATCATCTCAGGAATTCACTTCACTCCACCCTAAAGTCGGATTTCCTGTTTCCCAGAAAACAGTTCATATTTCTTTCTTTCTTGGTTTACAAGTTTACTTCAGGTGAGCATCACAGTAGATTACTAACAAAGGGTGCATGAAAGATCTTTTTTTTGAGACTTCTGCATCTTTTTAAATGTTTTATTATAATCCTACCACTTGGCTATTTGATAATAAAATGCTAAATTGGAAATAATTCAGAATTTGAAAGCATAATTCCCTCATCTTTTGACAATAGTGCTGTAACACTATTCCAATCCCCAGTTTTTGTTGACAACTTGCTTCCACCCCCTCTTCACCCCACCCTCCCCACTCTGCCCTACTCCATCCTCCCATCCCCTACTCCATGCTCTGGAAGCTTTCCAAATAACATCTCTGTCCCAAGGTTCTGAAGTGTCTTGGTAGGGGTAATATCTTTCCTCAATCACTGTGATAGTGTTAGAGTAGCTAGCTAGCCAGACATGAGCAGGACAGGAGAGAGTCTCCCACCTCCCCACTCCACCAGGAATGTCAGGCGACCATCAGATGATAGTCAGGTGGTTGTTAAACTCTCTAAAATAATAATTAGTAGCAGCCAGCACCAAGGAAGAGCAGGCTCCCAGTAGATAGAAAACACCTGAAGCCAGTGATCAGCCGCTTCCCGATAAGATCTTAGGAGTTGGGTGATTGGGCTCAAGCATGCACACTAAGAGGCACAGTAGGTAGAGTTTAACTGGTATATGACCTCCCTCTGGGAACACTTGACTGGTAAGGGGAAAAGGCCTCAAGTGAGCATGCGTACAACTTCAGTAAACACACTGCACGTGTGGCGCCTCCCACGCGCTGGCAGGCCACTGCACGTGCAGACAGCCCACCCCAAGGGAAGAATCAGGGGAGAACAGACATAAAACCCTGAAAGCATGCCAACATATAAAACCCCATGTCAAGGACTAAATGGCACATTTGGATCTCTCAAGTCACCCACATGGCCCTCTTCCAAGTGTACTTAACTTTCTTTCATTCCTGTTCTAAAACTTTTTAATAAACTTTCACTCCTGCTCTAAAACTTGCCTTGGTCTCTCACTTTGCTTTATGGTTCTCAGATAAATTATTTCCTCTGAAAAGGCAAGAATCAAGTTGCTGCAGACAAATATGGATTCATCCCTGCTGACATATTTTGGTGCTGTTATTACCAAAACACCAGGGGTTCGGTCTAGGTTCTGCTACTTGCCACACAGAAAGCCATGCACTGAGATGACAACTATTGACAAGGAAGAAGACTTTAATCAGGTGCTGCAGCTGAAGAGATGAGAGCTCAGTCTAATTCCCTATCCCTGACCCACTAAAACTAGGGGTTTATATAAAAGGGAAGAAATGTAACAATGTAAGAGAACAGGAACTAGGGAGGGGTAAGGAAGCAATCATGACAAATGAGGGGTCCTGGCATCTGATTGTCTGCATGTGGTGATCTGGTGACTTTCAGTTCTTTGATATTTTTTTGAGAGGCCTGAAAGTTGTGTCCTGAGGAAGGAACTCAGATAAAACAAATATAAGTTTTAAGCTTTAAGACCTAAAGTGTCAATTCCTATGTTTATCAAGAAGAACTGTCTATGGGACAACTGGGTCAGTTTCACCATGACTGGGATACTGCATGGGGTGAGTTTGTGAGAGCACCAGGTATCCTAAGGGAAACTTGGGAGGGAACCAGCTACTAGATGGTTTGATTAGTCTTTTATTCCTATACCCAGGTTGGACACCAATTTGCACATCAGGACCACTGTGGACCATGGGGCAATGAAGGTGAAGACTGGAGCACTCATCACCCAAGGTAGCATCCCAAAGCCTCTCCAGTCTACTGAGGGAATACTCCCAGTGTACCATGGGTCTGTATCTCCTGTCATGCTGAGGAGGTGGAGCATGAACACACGTGTTAGGAAAAAAAAGATGGTAAACTATGCCTGGGCAAGACGAAGCCAGAGGAAACTGGTGGAGGTCCACAACGGTCCTGATGGGCAAATTGATTGTCCAACCTGGATATAGGGATGAAAGACTAATTGAACCATCTAATAGCTGGTTCCCTCCGAAGTTTCCCTCAGTATAGCTGGTGCTCTCACAAAACCCACCCCACACAGTTTTATCCAAGTCACAGCCCCAACGTATGTTAGCAGAGGTGAATCCATAGGGGTCTGCAGCAACTCAATTCTTCCCTACTCAGAATGAAGAATTCATCCGCTGAGCATAAGTCAGAGTGAGAGATCAAGGCAATATTTAGAGCAGGAGCGAAAGTTTATTTAAAAGTTTTAAAGCAGGAATGAAAGGAAGTAAAGTACATTTGGAAGAGGGCCCACTGGGCAACTCGAGAGTTCCAGTGTGCCATTTAGTCCTTGACTTGGGCTTTTTATATGTTGTCATGCTTGTAGGGTTTTGCATCTCTTCTTTCCTGATTCTTCCTTGGGGTGAGCTGTTCGCATGTACGTGCCAGCACTTGGGAGGGGGCCCATGAGCAGTTTGTTTACTGGAGGTTGTGTGTATGCTCACTTGAGGTGTTTTCCCCTTATCAGTAGAGTGTTCCTGGAGGAAGGTTATATGCCCATTAAACTCTACCATTATGCCTCTTAGTGTGCATGCTTGAGCACACTCAACTAACTCCTGAGATCTTATTGGGAAACGGCTGCTCACCAGCTTCAGGTGTTTTCTATCTATTGGGAGATTGCCTTTCCCTGGAGCCAACAGTGACCAATTATCATTTTAGAGGGTTTAACAACCACCTGACTAGCACCTGATAGTCACCTGACTAGCACCTGATGGTCACCTCACTAGCACCTGATGATCGCCTGACATTCCTGGTGGGGTGGGGGGCTTCTCCTGCCCTGTTCATGTCTGTCTGGCTGTCCACTCTAATAATAGACACATAGTCATTTCAGTCTAGGAGAGCACATTCTTTCCTACCTGCTGTGGGACATTTTCTTCTGTTATTTTTTGATAATTTCCTCAGAAATATTTTTTCAGTTCTCATTGTCTGGATTACTACTTAGATGATGTTGAATCTTTTTGCCTAATGCTGTTTCCTTATCTTCACTCGTCTATTTTTCCATCTCTTTGTCTTTTGGGCAGATTTTCTCAACCTAAACGTTCCATCCTCCTGTTGATTTTGTGTGTATTGAGGAGATGGGATTTACTATTTGAGAGCATTTTGTTGTCATAAGATTCCTTATTTATTTTGCTTTTTCTTTTGTAAATTGACAAAAATTGTATACATTTATGATATATAGCATGATATTTTGATATATGTATACACTGTGGAATGACTAATCAAGGGAATTAACATATCTATTACCACAGATACTTACCATTTTTTGTAGTGAAAGAACATTTAAAATCTACTCTCTTAGCAATTTTCAAGTATACAATACATTCTTGTTAATTCTACTCACTGTGTTGTAGAACAGCTCTCCTCTACTTATTTCTGCTAACTGAAACTTTGGATCTGTTGACCAACATTTCCTCAACTCCTTCCTCCTTCAGCTCCTGGTAACCACAAGTCTACTCTCTATTTCTTGTTTCTTTTTCAGACAGGGTTTCATTTTGTTGCCTGGGCTGGAGTATAGTGCCCTGATCACAGCTTGCTGCAACCTCAAGTTCCCATGCTCAAGCAATCTTCCTGCCTCAACTTCCCAAGTAGCTGAGACCACAGGCATGCTCCATGACACCGGAACTTCTGAACTCAAGCGATGCTCCTACCTCAGCCTTCCAAAGTGCTGGAATTACGGGCATGAGCCACTGAATCCTGCCTGCCCTCTGTTTCTATGTGGTATTTGTCTTTCTATGCCTGACCTATTTCATGTAACATAATTTCCTCCAGATTCATCCATATTGTCCCAAATGACCAGATTTCTTTCTTTTGTAAGGCTGAATAGTATTCCATTGTGTATATATACTACATTTTCTTTATCTATTCATCTGTTGATGGACACTTAGATTGATTCCATATCTTGGCTATTGTGAATAAGCTGCAATGAACTTAGAAGTGCAGATACTGCTTTGACATAATTCATTTCATTTTCTTTGGATATATATCCAGAAGTGGAATTGGGCTGGAATATTTTTAATATTTTGAGGAAACTCCATATTACTTTCCATAATAGCTGTGCTAATTTACATTTCCACCACCAATGTATAAGGGCTTTCTTTTCTCCACATCCCCTCCAACACTGGTTATCTGTCTTTTTGATATGTTTTCTCTTCTCTGTAAAGCTGTTGATTGTAGCATTTTAGTTTTTCCAAAATTTTTTAAATCAAACTTTTGAAACATATAGCTGAAATGAAACAACTTTAGCATGAATGCGAATATACACCCAGCACCTATATTCTTGCTTTTCCACGTATTTACTCCTGAATTAATATATTACTTGTTGTATGTTTTTGAAAGTAAACTGCAAACAAGTGCATGTTTCTCCTAGATCCTTCCACATGCTCTGGCGTTAACTAGAGTTCAATGTTTAATTTTTTCCTTTTGATGTACAATTAATACACAATTAATTTACACACACATTTTACTTAGTTCTGAAAAATGTGTACACTTGTATAACTCAAAGTCCATCATTATAGAAGATTACTATCACCATAGCAAAATCTTTTGTGTCCCTTCTCAATCACCAATCCTGACCACACCCCAAGAAAACTACTGTTCAAATTTTTCTCCATCATTGATTGGTTTTGACTGTTTTAGAACTTCATAAAAATAAAATACTGTAGTGAAGTATATACAATTTTATGACTAGCTTCCTTTGCTCAACATAATGTTTTTGAGATTTATTCGTATTGCTGCATGTCAATAGCTGGTTCTTTTTATTGCTGCATATTTCATTGAATAAAAATGCCAAAGCTTGTTTATTCATTCTTGTCTCACATTAAAGTATCTGGGGGATGTTTTCCACTTTTGGCAATTAGAAATGGAACAGATTTGAATATTGTACAGGCTTTTTATGCATATGTATGCTTTTTTGAGTAAATACCCAGAAATTATGTTACTGGATCATAGGTTAATATATGTTTAGTTTTAAAAGAAAATGCCAGCTCTTTTTCCAAAATAGTTGTCCCATTTTACACTCCCAACAATAATGGATGAGATTTCCAGTTGCTGCACATCCTTACCAAAAATTAGTTTTTCTAGTTTTAGTCATTCTAATGGGTGTGTAGTGGTATCTCTATGTAGTTCTAATTTGCATTTCTCTAATAACTAATGATGTTAAACACATTTTTATGTACTTGTTTCATGTACTTGTTGATATATCTATTCAATTCCTTTGACCATTTTTATGGAGCTGTATTTTGTTATTGAGTTGTAGGATTTCTTTATATATACTGCATACCAGGCCTTTGTTATATACATGCTTTGCAATGTACATTGTCTTAAAATCTGTGACTTGCCTGTTCAATTCATTAGTGGTGCTTTTGTTAAGCAGTTTTTAATTTTGATGAAGTGTAACCTACTAACTTTTTATTATGGTTATTTGCTTTATGTTTCAGGCCCAAATTTTCCTTTCTTACAAATCACAAACATTATCCTATGTTTTCGTTCCAAAATTATATGGTTTTATGTATTTTCCATCTCAAAATATTCTCTAATTTTTTGCTGATTTATTTACTAAAGAAATTTGAGGGATTTGCTATAATGTTAGGGATTTTTCTAGATGCCACATTGTTATTGATTTCTGATTTAATTATATTATGCTCAGAAAACATATTCTGTATGCTTTCAACCCTTTACATGTATTGAGACTTGTTGGAGGGTCCAGCATATAATCTATCTCAGTGAACACACCACATTTACTTGAAAAGATGTGTATTCTGCAGTTGTTCAGTGTAGTGTTCTATAAAATCATTTAGGTCAAGGTGTTTGATAGTTTGTTCAAATCCATCTACTTCTTCATTAATTTTATTTATCTGACTCTATCAATTGCTAAAAGAATTTTGTTAAAAATTGTCAAGTATGATTTTAGAATCATTTATTTCTCCCTTTGATTAATTAATGTTGTTTCATGAATTTTGAAGCTGTTCAGAGACCAAAAAAAAAAAACTATTTATGAATATTGTCTTCCTAAATGGACTGATGATCCTTTTGGCATTATGAAATGTGTGTCTTTGTTTCCGGTGTTAATTCCTTCCTGAAGATCAGCAGTCTGATATGTTATCATTTACCTAAAGCCTGAAGAATGTCCATTAGCATTTCTCAAGGAGATAGTCTGCTGGTAAAGAATTCTCTTTTCTTTTTCTAAAAATGCCTTTATTTTGCCTTCATCTTTGCTGGTTGAGAATTGGTTGTTAGATTTTTTTTTTTCTGTCCTTTCAAGATGGTAATTATAGTGTATTGTTATATTGTTCACTTCTTTAGAATGTGTTGTTTTTCTCTGGATGCTTTCAAGATTTCCTCTTTATTTTGTGGTGTTCAGTGCTTTTATTAGGATGAGCCAAAGTTTAGTTTTATTTTTAATTTTTCAACTTGAAGTTTGCTAATTTTTTAAAAAGCCTATTGAGAGGTAGACTTGACATACAATAAGCAGCACGTATTCAAAATGTAAATTTGGATACATTTTCATACATATACACTCAGGAGATCATCACCACAATGAAAGCAATGAACATATCTATTACCCTAGAATGTTTCCTTCTGCCTTTTAGTAATTCCTCCCACATTCCATCTGATTCACAGGCTCCCACTGATCTCCTTTCTGACACTATACATTTGCATTTCCTAGAATTTTATAGAAATGAACTCATACATTATGTATACTTTTTGTCTCGCTACTTTCACTGAGACTCAATTATTTCAAGAGTCATACATTATTGTGTGTATCAATAGTTTGTTCCTTTTCATTGCTGAGTAGTATTCTGTTGTATGGATATACTACAATATGTTTATCCACCTGCTGATGAACGTTGAGGTTGTGTCCACTTTGAGACCACTACAGACAAAGTTGCCATGAACATTCGTATACACTCTATTTTTCTTGGGTTAATACATACAAGTGGAATGGCTGGGCCATATTGTAGAAGCATGTTTAACTGTTTAAGAAATTACCCAACTGCTTCTAAACAGGTAGTAGCATTTTACATTCCCAAGAAAAGTGTTTAAGAGTTCCAGTAATTTCATATCCTTACCAGCATTTGGTATGGGCAGTCTTTTTTTCACCTTGGTAATGAAAAAAGAACTTAATAGTACTTAATGGTTCTATACGATTTTATTGCCAGTGTAGTTTCATGCATTAAATTTGTTTTGTTTTGTTTTGTGAGACAGAGTCTCATATCGTTGCCAAGGATGGAGTGCAGTGGCATAATCTTGGCTCACTGCAACATCTGCCTTCCAGGCTCAAGCAATCCTCCCACCTCAGCCTCCCGAAAAGCTGGGACTACAGGTGTGCACACCATGCTCAGCTAATTTTTGTATTTTTTGTAAAGACAAGGTTTTTCCATGTGGCCCAGGTTAGTCTTGAACTCTGAGACTCAAGTGATCCACCTGTCTCGGCCTCCCAAAGTGCTGGGGTTACAGGTATGAGCCATTGTGCCCAGCCTAAATTGTTTTTAATAACTTTAAAATTTGATCACAAAAATAATGTATGATAGAAAACTTCAAAAATATTAAATGATGCAAAAAATACCTGTAATTGTGTCACTTAATCATAATGCTTGTGAACATTCTAGACTTTTTATTTAGATATACATGTTTTTAAAAAGTGGATTCTAGTTCTACACTGTTTTATAATCTTACTTTTTTGTTAATACTAAATCATGAACTCTTAAGGTCATGAAATCTTATTCCACTATGCCTTATCTTTAGAGGATGTAGAGTTTTCTGTCATATGGCAATGCCGTATTTTATAATATCAGGTTCCTATGTTAGACATTTAGGTTGTTTCCAGGTTTTCACTTTAAAATTATGGTAAAATTAGCCCTTTATTAGATGGGTAGATTGTAAAAATTTTCTCCCATTCTGTAGGTGGTCTGTTCACTCTGATGGTAGTTTCTTTTGCTGTGCAGAAGCTCTTTAGTTTAATTAGGTCCCATTTGCCTATTTTGGCTTCTGTAGTCATTGCTTTTCGTGTTTTAGTCATGAAGTCCTTGCCCATGCCTATGTCCTGAATGATATTACCTAAGTTCTCTTCTAGGGTTTTTATGGTTTTAGGTCTAACATTTAAGTCTTTAATCCATCTTGAATTAATTTTTGTATGAGGTGTAAGGAAGGGATCCAGTTTAAGGTTTCTACATATGGCTAGCCAGTTTTCCCAGAACTATTTATTAAACAGGGAATCCTTCCCTCATTTCTTGTTTTTGTCAGGTTTGTCAAAGATCAGATGGTTGTAGATGTGTGGTGTTCTTTCTGAGGGCTCTGTTCTGTTCCATTGGTCTATATCTCTTTTTTGGTACCAGTACCATGCTGTTTTGGTTGCTGTAGCCTTGTAGTATAGTTTGAGGTCAGGTAGTGTGATGCCTCCACCTTTGTTCTTTTGGCTTAGGATTGTCTCAGCAATGCGGGCTCTTTTTTGGTTCCATATGAACTTTAAAGTAGATTTTTTCCAATTCGATGAAGAAAGTCATTGGTAGCTTGATGGG